AGGTATAGCAGGCCTTGAAAAGGTTCTATTGAAGGGCTATGGCCCCAACAGCGGCTGGTTTAACAGACCTCATAAGCGACCGAAAGGGCATGTTGAACCTCGCCCAGCAAACAGGGGGAAATTCACTGGGGGCCTTGTTTTGGATTGGTGAATAATTATTCCACTCACATTGGCTAGGCATTTGTGCAGAATATTATGCTCATGAATTAGTTGCCCGCGAATTGAAATGTTCACCTGTTGGGTCTGGGTGGCGACACCGAGGCTTTGAGCCCTGCTGACCAAACCAGAAGTTGATGCAGCTGTTGTCTCGCTCCCTGAGTTGCATTTGAAAGTTGTCGGTAAGACCATCTTGTGGAAAAAGAAAATGACGGGCCACTCAACTGAGTGGTTGGTACCATGTTAGGTGCAGAGGAGAAGGTGTGTGCCACTCAACTGGGTTCTCTGGATTTGTTTCTAGCCAATGTTCTGCCATTTTGCTGGGAACATTTATTCGCCGGTGAGAGCTTCAGATTGACACACTGGCCTCGCATCCAATGGGACAGGCAACGCACCGGCGCAAATGGTGTGTTTGGTTTGCGCCTGATACTTGTGCTTGGTGAGTGTTTAACCCCCCCCCCCCCCCAAAAAAAAAACACAAAAAAAGAAAAACAAAACAAGGCAAAAAAACAACAACTCCCAAGACCCCCAAAGCAGAACTTTGGCCGGTATCTTTTTTGAGGGCAAGGGGAGAAACAAAAGGGGCACTGGTTTCAAAGTCCAAGGAACTTTTCAGAGGAACACCTCTCAATTTTCCAGGCACCCCTCCCCTCCATTGTTCAAACATTCCCCCCTCCCTCCCTCCACTTTGCCACAAAGAGGATCACGTGGCATAGACCCCTGCAATGCGCCACGCACTCCTTTGGGGGCTCGGGGTTCCGCTTGTTGGGTTCCATGCCCTCGCCACACTGGGCACTGCAAATTGGTTCCACTCTTCGCTCGAGGTTTGTTGACTTCCTTTGGTCAAACTTGGAGCTGACGCCGTCGGGGGCCAAAGACCGGGTTTTTCGGGAGCGCCGGAAGGGCAGCTGGAAGGCTTGGATACCCTAGGTCCCCCAACTAGGTGCCCTTTTACCGTTATTCTTTTTTGGTGGAGGGTTCCCCTAATAAAATAAACTACAGAAAAAAAAGTTGGTACCCTTATTCTAACCTCTCTACTGGAGGACCTAGCACCACTCCCTGAGCATGGCTTCAAACAGAAGGCCAGTTGAATAATGTCGGGCTTCCTATTGGTGGTGCAAGGGAAAGTTGAGGGGAAGGCCATGGAACAAAGAATAATTTTCTCTTTTTTTCCTGGCAAGGGCAAGACCTGTGGGCAAGACCCACTTCATGCGCACCAGTTGGTGTGCGTGGCTTATCTGAACCTTTGCCTCGCTCCACAGGACCTGAGTTTCATGAGGGTTTGGTGGGCATCCAGTAAACTTTCTCCATGGACACAGAAATCCACGACCTTTGCCTTTCAAAGAACTCCGCCGGCACAAAAAGCAGTCCGCGACCTTTGGTTGCGGCAATCGGGAGAAGGGAGCATTCTAGGAGTTGATTCCCCATTCTTTTCAGCCATCGTTCTTTTCAAACACCGATCGCCACTTCCCCTGGGTTTTTGGCGGTTTTCTAGAAAGGAGGATGCCTGGAAAGAATGGAAATGGAAGTTACCCCTAGAAGCATGGCAAGAGCCATGGGTGAACCCAGGGCCAGTCAAAAGGGAAGCCGAGTTCTTTCGGGTTTGGGAGGTCCCCTATTGGTTGCTGGTGGCTGGTATCGCTTTTCCGCCCTGCTTCCATGACTGGTTTTTCATGAAGAAACAGGACCCCCCCCCCCGACGAGTGCGACAAGTGTCCCAGAAAAATTGTCGATTTTTCTTGGTGGCTCCCAGCCGTCCCCTTAGCTTTTTAGCTTTTTAGGGTTTAGTGGAGGTTTCCATTTAACTCACTAGAAGTTTAACTTTTAGCAGGGGATCTGAGGGCAGCCCAGTTTCTTTCAGTCAAAGCCTATTTTCAGGTCCCGGTGCGCACCCTTGTTTCCATTCCCCTTAAGGACAAACCCACGTTTGAATCAGTCAGAAGTAATAAAACCTTGGTTTATTATACAGTGGTGTGTGCGTTCCCTTTTGGGCGAGAACCCTTCACCTTGCAGGGGAAATGCACAGTTCATTCAAGATTGTTGATTCGGGGTTGGCAGTACAATTTGAGGGTATAAAGGTGGCACAACCTCCCCATTTAGGCAAGACATATTCTCTTTACTCGCGGACACCACCCAAGATGCGTGCCATCTAACCCTTTCTGCGGGTCTTGAAGACCACTGCAAGTAAGAACAAAGCTGCGCGTTGTGTGGCGTGCGTCCTAGACAGATGCCGCTGCAGTCCCTGTATTCCGCACACATAGTTTGAAGACTGCCCCAGAAACCAAGTGTGTCGTTGTCCTTGTTTCTCTTGGTGTGAGGGGGGGGGCCTCACTGGGCAACTGGGGTTTGGCATTGGTCGCCCCAACAAACAGGTCCTTCCCCTGGGCTCTTGCACTCCACCTCTGGTGGACGGCTTGCCGATGGTGCGGCAGAGAGAGTGAGAGAGAGTTCCTTTTTTAAATCATGTGTTTTGGTTGGGTTCCAAGCGACTTTGCAGGTTGCAAGCGCGTTTTGGCTGCAGGTGACTCGTTGGAAAACAGGGTGCGCGCCAAGCTCCCACCAAGTGCTCCTTGTTTTGGTCAGGGTTTTCTTTCAGCTCATCTACGTTCCGCTTCACCGTGGAAAGCCAAACCCCGCGGCTTAAGCCCCCGATGGAACTTCATGGCATCCGACGCCGAGGCACACTTTGAGGACCCTGGCAGAGGACGGGGTGTCGCTCGTTACCTGTTTTTTGAGTGGTTTTTGAAATGGATCAGGCATCGATTTGGTCCTGAAGAGGGTGGGCTTTGGTGTGTGGTTCCTGCAAAGGGGGCGTGAGGGTCGCCCCCTTTTGTGAAGACTGTGATTGAATGAGAAAGCGAGTACACTGCATCACACTAACATGGCACCTGATAGGGAAATTAATGATTCCTCCTTCAGGTGGATACCAACAAGCAAGCGTTTCCCATTTCCCATGGTTTCAAGGTGGTGCAAAATGAATTTCGCAACCATTCACAGTATGCTCAGCCATTCCCGAATCTCCCGGCCGCGACATCTTGACGCCAATCTTCCAAGTACTCCCACAAATGTTTTGTTAGTGGGCAGTGGGGGGAAGGAAAGGAAGAGAGCAACTTTCACTTGGGGTCGAGATGGTCATCAACCCGTGTCTTCAACTTGTTTGTTTGGGGTTGACGTTCCGAAGAGCAAGCTCTTACTTGGCCGTTCGCCGGGTAACGACTTGCCCTTGTTGGAACTGTTTCACCGATTTTGGTTTCGCCCTAAAGTGGTAGTAAGTCATACCTTTTGTTCATCAAGCAGACTGCCTGAGCTCTGATCTAACCATATGTGTGAGGGAACTGTCCAAGTTTGGGAAGTCCAATGGTCAGGTGACCCCTAATTTGTTTGGATTGGCGGCCTGGAGTGGGATTTGAACCCCTGGATGTAAGGAATACATGGGACACCAAACGCACCAAACCCACCAAACCGGGCTCCAAACCACAAAGAGGAAGTTCACTGCGGTGGTCCAATAGCTAAACCTTGTTCGGCTCGAGGCTCCTTTGGGCCGAACTCATGGGTTCGACCTGAAAGGAGGCAACAGTCCTCGGATCATTGGCTTCCTTGAGCTGTATTTGGAGATGGCGTGTGTTTTGGTTGGAGATCGTTTCCTTGAGCTTTGAAGTTCAGCCGGGGGGTTGCAAGATGCGTTTCGCCGACCAAACCAAACAACATGTCCCCTTCTTGGAGAGTGTTTGCCGGGAGATTTTGGGCAGCTTCTGTTTTTGTTTTGTTTTTTTTTCCATGTCCTCGCTCGCAATGGTCAGGCCAAGAAAGCTGGCGAAGCCATGCCCTCGTGTTGGCCTTTTTGTTTAAATGGGGAATGCTGCAACTATCTATATGTCCTAGAAAAACTGTCCCTAGATCAACTGGGTGCTCAATACCCAGCCCAGTGTCAACATATCCCCCAGCCGAAAGCCATGCACTCGACAGGTATTCAACAGGAACCCGCAGACCCAGAAGTGTTTCCAGCCCAGGGCTGGGCAGGGCTTTCCCCCTCCCAAAACCAATTGGTAGGACATTTGGACACCATTCCCTTTGCTCCCTTTTGCCACCCGATCTTCGGCCGCATTTGCACACGCTTGAGGTTTGAGGGTTGCTCACGTCCTTTTTCTTTATATTGGGGGGGCAGATCCTAAGTTTAGACCACAAGCTGAGTGTCTGATGTACCCAAGTCCAAGCACTTCGTGCCTCTTCGGGTTCGATGGGTCGGGGTGTTCCGCGGGCCCCAGGTTCCTTGTCCGAATTGTGAGGACCTCCAGCGAAGGGGCTACCTGCCAAGGGACCGGCCATGCATCGTCTCCCTGGATACCTTGAAAAGGCCCCCCTCTGGGAGCGGGCCGGAAGATGAGGGGAGCCGCAGTCAAAGCCTAAGCCAGCACCGTAGGCTTTGTTGAATCTGTGAATGGGTAGAAGTTTCAACGTGACTCGGGTATCATGCTCCCAATCCGGATTTGCCGTGGCTGCTTCACTTGCCGAGTTCACCAAGAGCTGGGTGCTGCATGGTGATGCATCGTTGCCAGTTTGGGAAACAGAGGGAGCGAAGGTCAAGTTTGTGAAGCATAGGGCGCGTCTTACCAGAGCTGGTTCTTTCCGTGCCGGATCAACCTCACTTCCTGAGTTGCCAGATGCATGTTTGTGGGTTTTGGTTGCCATAGTGGCGACGAAGCCACGAACAAGTCACAGAGTGCAGCCCAACAGGTCAGGAGTGCAAACCCTGAAGCAAGGGGGTCGAGCCCTGTATTTAACCCTTTTTTGGTTTGAAACATCCTTTCGGTCAATTTAAGGTTAGTTTTCTAACAAGTAATGCTAGCATTGGCTGTGCTTTGGTGTGGTCCGCGCCATGCGCGCCATGCGCGGCCTCCGCCGCGGCCTCCGCCGCGGCGCCGCGGGGTTCGTTGGATGGCGGGGCATCACGGTGGAGGCGATGCGCCTCAACGCGCCCCTCAAGGAGACATGGGGGCGAAGAAAGGAACTGGGGGCCATCCAAATGGTTTATAGGCATCCAGCCCAACCAGCCCTAAACACACAAACAGTACACCCTAGCATGGGGCATCATTCCATTTCCTGCCCTTCTTGCAGCAAGAAAAGGTTGTTCTTTGCTTGGCACTCACTTCCTGAGTTCCGTTTCGGACAAGAGTTTGCACTTTTGTTTGGCCCATCCACTTAGGAAGTGAGCCAAAAGAAGGGTCAACCAAGGATACTTTTCTTGGGCGCTTTTTGACGCCTACAGGTGAGTGCTCAATATTGCTATTGGGTGGCTTTCCTTTTTGACGATCACGTAGGGTCTGCGGGTTGGTGCGCCCAATGCGCACAACCGCGTTGTTTTGTGCCAGGGTGTGTGTGTGTGTGTGTGTCTGTGTGTGTCTGTGTGTGTCTGTGTGTGTCTGTGTGTGTGTGTCTGTGTGTGTGTATGTGTGTTTCTGTCTGTTTGTGTCTGTGTGTGTGTGTGTCTGTGTGTGTGTGTGTGTCTGTGTGTGTGTGTGTCTGTGTTTGTGTCTGTGTCTGTGTTTGTGTCTGTGTTTGTGTCTGTGTCTGTGTTTGTGTCTGTGTCTGTGTCTGTGTCTGTCTCTGTGTCTGTGTTTGTGTTTGTGTCTGTGTGTGTGTGTGTCTGTGTCTGTGTCTGTCTGTGTGTGTGTGTCTGTGTTTGTGTCTGTGTCTGTGTTTGTGTCTGTGTCTGTGTCTGTGTGTGTCTGTGTGTGTGTGTCTGTGTCTGTGTCTGTGTTTGTGTCTGTGTCTGTGTTTGTGTCTGTGTCTGTGTCTGTGTCTGTGTCTGTGTCTGTGTTTGTGTTTGTGTCTGTGTCTGTGTGTGTGTGTGTGTCTGTGTCTGTGTCTGTGTTTGTGTCTGTGTTTGTGTTTGTGTTTGTGTCTGTGTCTGTGTCTGTGTCTGTGTTTGTGTCTGTGTCTGTGTTTGTGTCTGTGTCTGTGTCTGTGTCTGTGTCTGTGTCTGTGTTTGTGTTTGTGTCTGTGTCTGTGTGTGTGTGTGTGTCTGTGTCTGTGTCTGTGTTTGTGTCTGTGTTTGTGTTTGTGTTTGTGTCTGTGTCTGTGTCTGTGTCTGTGTTTGTGTCTGTGTCTGTGTTTGTGTCTGTGTCTGTGTCTGTGTCTGTGTCTGTGTCTGTGTTTGTGTTTGTGTCTGTGTCTGTGTGTGTGTGTGTGTCTGTGTCTGTGTCTGTGTTTGTGTCTGTGTTTGTGTTTGTGTTTGTGTCTGTGTCTGTGTCTGTGTCTGTGTTTGTGTCTGTGTCTGTGTTTGTGTCTGTGTCTGTGTCTGTGTCTGTGTCTGTGTCTGTGTTTGTGTTTGTGTCTGTGTCTGTGTGTGTGTGTGTCTGTGTCTGTGTCTGTGTTTGTGTCTGTGTTTGTGTCTGTGTCTGTGTCTGTGTCTGTCTGTGTGTGTGTTGGTGTGTGTTTGTGTGTGTGTTTCTGGAAGAGAGGAGGGGCTTGGAAAGCTAGACTGGTTGAGGGGTGGACTCATGATCAGGATCCCTTGCTGTGTGCTTCCCTGATTTCCAGCTTGGAAAGTATACTTTGCAATTTGCCAAGGCTTAACGTTGACCCAAAAGGAGACAATTAAATCGACCCAGCTGGTTATGATTAAATCCATCCTAATCCATTGAACGGGGGGCCATGTAGGGAACATAAAGGAAACATAGAGGCAACCCTGAGGAACCTCCGGTTGCAGGGAGCCTTTCATGTCTGGGTCCTTTGGGCAGGGTTCTTGCTTGATGGTTTCCTTGTAGGGTTCCCTGTCAAAACTCAAAGGGCAAGCGGGGACGGTCTCAGCCAGAATTTGGTGCAGGTAGCCGCCCTGATTGAGCCATAACTTCCAGTTGCGTCAGAATATGTCTTATTGTCCCTTGTTGGTTTTCAAGGGACTTTCTATGATTTTATCACTAGTGGAAATATGCTTACTTTGGCTGAGGCTAAAACAATTAGAATTCGAGTACCTCACTCCCTGATTTCGGGGACTACTTTCTGGCAGGGTTATTTGAGTGCCAAACAAAAAGACCGAATCCACTCACAAATTGAGCTTAAGTATCGGGTTTTGATTGAGAGCCCATGTTCAGGGCACGCTATATGTCCTTTTTTTGCGAGTTGATCACCCTTGCGGCCAATTTAAGGGCGAGTTTTTCTTGGGATGTTTTATGGGGCAATGTGTGTGTGTGTGTGCCTCCTTTTGTCACGCTGGTAAGAAAGGAACCACTTCAGGAAAACGGCCCATTGTTCAGCTTCCCTTTGAAAAAGGGGAGCCCGGGAGTAGCACCGGGCCAAGTTTGGCAAGCCTTCGACCCTCAGGAGATGGACGCGGAGATCCACAGAATCATTGAGAAGGAGAAAGACCGACAGCGGCGCCCCTTCGTCGCGCAACGGTTTCGTTTCGGCCAAAAAAGCAGAAGAAAACAAAGCAACACCGACCCAAACAAGCAGAAAACACGGTTGTAAAAACATGGTCTATGTCCGGTTGCTCGGCTTTTTGTTTCTTCTCTTAAAAAAAAAAAGTAAAATATATAATATATATATTTCTTTCTTTTTCCGAGGGACCCGACATGGACAATATTTTGGTGGGGATTCATGTCCAACTTGTAAGGTTTGCGATCAAAATTGCAGCCGCGTTGCGCGGCCTCAGCCTGCTTTTGGGTGCCAGGTTCCATTTGTACAATTTCAATAGGGAAAGGGGGATACTTTTTCATTTGGTTAGCCACTCTATTTAGCACCCAGTCATAAACATCAACCTTTGGGCCACTCTTAGTTTTCCCTTGGTGTGATGGCAGGGGGAATATATAGAGAGCTCGTTTGTATTTGTTTGGGAGCGCTTCCCCATTTGTTCGGCCTGCAGAACATCCCACCCTGCTTTCTGTGGCTAAAGGGAAACAAATGGGACACCGTTAGTTGTCAGGGCACATGTTTGGAGACAAACCCACTTGGGGGCTGTGACAAGCAGTCAATATTCACCCTCATTCACCATAAGCTGGGATGACAATTTTTGCAACATTGCCATGGAAGAGGCTGTGTAGGCCCAGGTCAGTAAATGCACTTTCAGGAGTTGCGATTCTCAGAGGTTTGCCGGGCGAGGGTTATGGAAAAATAGCAGAAACTGAACAACATCGCCAGACATTCACCGAAAAAAAATGGAAACACGCCGCGTGAAATTCATTTACCCAGCCGATCTTTTCTCCGGTTTTGGGGGGCTGGCTTGTTTTTTTCCATGTTTTTTTTGATTTTTTTTGTCTGGCTTTGGGGGTGGGGGGGCTGGGTGCTTTCCCGAGGCTGCGTCAACCTCATCGCCTCGGAGAACTTCGCCCCCGCGCCGGTGCTGGAGGCAGTGGGCTCCGCGAGCGCCTCAGACTCCATCCGCGGATCGGGGATCTCCGGCTCCGGCGGGGGACTTCGGTGCGGAGCCGAAGTGGAGATCTCGGGTTGGAGGTCCAACGGTGTTGCCTCACACACGTTGGAAGCTTCTCTACCAAGTCGTATTCAGGCCCATTTTTTTGTTTTTTTTGGGGGGGAAGATTTGTGTAATGGTAGAAGATGAGTCTGGACTTTGAGGCAAACCACTCAGGAAGTCTTGGGTGGTTTCAAGGGGAAATCAAAAGGGATAGCCACCATTTTGGGGGTTACCGCTATTTTGAGACACACCCACCCAGGTCACTAAGCAACTGGGAAGCAGCCGCTTGAGTTCAGTCGTTGCGTTTGATGCTGTGCTGGAACTCCTCCTTCGCGCAGAGGGACTTAGGAGGGTAGTCTTTGTTTAAGGTTTCAAGAGGGGAAAATCACCATTTTGTGGGGTGCCCAAAGAAAGGACACCCGAAAACAGGGGGTTGGGGTCAATCTTCGGGAAATAATCCTCAATCATGGATTTTTCACAAAATGGCAACAACTGGACAAGATGCCAACCTTTGTGCCGTCCACGCGTTAGCCGTCCAAAAGCCATCAGCTTTCTTTGGTGATATCGGTACAAGGTGCTCAGTGTCCATTGCCAGGCTGGGGTAGGCATGTTTCAACGTCCTGACACAAGCACGTGTTTAATCTCACTTGCCCGAAGCGAATTGCCGTTGCCGAGTTTTGTTTACAGCTATACCCTGTGATTCCACTTATTGGTGATCATTTCCCGTGACCCACCACCTGGAAGCACTGGGGCAGGTGTTTAGACCTGGGTGTGCAGAGGGATTTGTTCATCGCCCGAATCGTTGCGAGGTCATGGTTAACAAGTACTCCGAAGGCTACCCTGGCGCAAGATACTACGGCGGCAACGAATTCATCGACCAGGCGCTTTGGAGGGTGTGCATGGTCTAATGCAGCAACTTTCCAAATGGATGGTTTCCCTTGATCTCCGACACTCTCCGACCAAACCGGGCACGATGAAAAGGCGAGCACGCCCAACCCCAAACCAACCTCAAACCAACATATCCAAACCCTAAACCCCGATTTCGGGTCGGCCTTGAGGGGTCTCTTCTTAGCCTCACCCGAAAATCGCCTCGAGCACTTTGCGAGGCGGAGCGCTTGTGCATGCAGCGAGCGCTGGAGGCATGCAGGTTGGATCCCAAAGAGCTCTTTAGCTGCGCTTCTTGGGTTGGTGTTTGGATTGGGGGCAATGGGAACCCAGGATCTAAGCAGAACCCGTCCTATTGATAGGGTGCTGTTCCCTCAAGTGAGGGTCACAAAACCCACAAACACGCCCCTATTCATAAACTGGGGTTGACCCCTTAAAACCCGCCGCACTCATCAATCAGGGGGTCCTTTTTCGTGGGCATTCCTAGCTTCCCCAGGGGCTTTTTCCCTGATGAAAAGCTGCTTCGACATTAATGGGAACCCTGGATGAAGTTAAACTTCTAGGACAGCTTCCACTTAGATCTGGGGTTCCCATGAATGCCAACCCCCTGATTCCCTGATTAATGCCCTCCCCTCTTATTATTCAGAGAGTCCCCCTGGAAGAAAAGAATCACCACTGCAAAGGGACCCCATGAACAATCAGCGGGTGTGTGTTGATCAGGGGTCGACCCTGATTGCATTATGCTGTTGGTTTATGTGTGTGATCCCTACAGCCAACAACAACCTAAACCCCTATTATTTCACCACTAAAAGGTCTTAAGTCTTCCTAATATGAATATTGTTTGTTTGTTTGTTTGATTGATTGATTGATTGATTGATTGATTGATTGATTGATTGATTGATTGATTGATTGATTGATTGTTTTTTTGCCCGCAGGGAGGTAAGGCTCCGACTCGATTTGTCCGAGGTGGGGTGTGAATGTGCAGTCCTTGAGCGGCTCCCCGGCCAACTTCCAAGTCTTCTCCGCGCTCTGCGACGTGCACGACCGCCCCCTGGCGAAACTCGAAATCCCGAAAGCCCCGTCTCCATTTTAGCAGGTGGTTCTACACCCGTTAGCTTTTTGATTTTCGAAAGTACCTCTTTGTTTTGCGCGTTTTTGAAGAAGGAAGAAGGTGTTGCGTGTGGGGGGTTTGGGAAGGGTACCGTTTCTTCCAGGTTTTCAAGGAACACCAAGCGGAGTTTTGGGTCGACTAGACGGCTCGAGGTTTTGAATCGGCATCGCTGGCTTCTCAGGTGGGGGTTCTGGACATAGAGCCGGTGAAGTGGCGCAGTTTCACGATGGCCCATGCGCATGAAATTCGGGGAGCACTTTCTCGGTGATTTAGCCACCACCTACAAGAGACACCCACCAGCGCGCGTTGTATGTCCGTTTCTTGGGTGGTTGAAAACCGCGTTTTGGTGTCCCATTTAAATTGACTGTGGCGGTGCAGGCTCTTGTTGGGGGATTCGCGCCGGGCTTCTGAGCAGACCATAAACTGTTCTAAGACACTGGTTCCCAGCCGTTCCAGCCAGCACCAAGCAGCATCCCCATTTTTTTGGAAACCCCTGCCCCTTTTTCCTTCAAACGGCCTTCAGCCTGCGTCCCATTTTTTTCTCGAGCTACCTGGGCTTCCTCCGGGCCCCAAGGAAGCCAACGACGCTGAGGCATCATGGGCTTGGATCTGCCCCACGGGGGCCACCTCTCCCATGGCTACCAGACGGATTCCAAGAAGATCCCCGGATACCGAAGCTGCGGGGCGCGTTTCGGGCGTCGGCCGGTCCGAGTGAAGCGGTTTTTGTTGGGCCGGCTGTTTTTTTTTTTTCAGTGTGGGGTGAGACGAGAGGAAAGCCCGTGACGAAGGTTCTTCATACTTGGAGATTTGCTACTTCAGGTGTTGTAATAGAGTATGGCTTGGGGTTTCTACCTCTTGGTTTTAGTTTCCAAGTTGGAGCAGTCTCCGGGGATTTTGCTGGCGAACAGGGCTGAGTCTCTCTCGAGAGATTCTCAGGCTGCCGGTGCCTGTGTTCCTCTTTTGGTTTTGCCGGGCGCCTCCACTGTAATCAACTGACCGAACAAGTGGCCATGTTGTTTCATACCCATTGGAGGTCTGGGGGAAAGCGGGGGTGAATCACCCTTTTTCAGGGCCGTTCCTTGGCCATGGATTTTCAACTGGAGCTTGCATGCAAGAGAAAAAGCTTTATGACTGTGGGTCAAAACCAATGGTACCATTTTGGGGTAGGTGCACCATCCATTTTAGGCTATTTCAGTGGGGATTGGATGTTCACTGGGGGTACAGGATATTGACCCATTGCCACATGTTTGTTTGGTTTGCGGGGTGGGGGCTCAGTTTTTTCACAAGGGAACCCTTTTTGGGATGAGCTGCGCAGACCCCAAGCTGCATAAGAGGCCAGACCGATTCTGTGAGTTTGGGTGGGTGTCCAACTGGAAGTTCCTGTGACTTGAATGTTCTTGAATCGACACGTGGCCTTTTTGGGAAGGGGGGTCTTGGCAAACTGCACGGGTCTACAGTCACCTCAAGCCTTCAGAATCTCGGGCCGTGCATTTGTCATGACTTAAGTGTTGTGTTGTGCACATATAGTGCAGTTGCACCCGCCATGCAAAGAATCACGGAAGCTGACAGGAGGGGTGTGGGAAGGCTAACTACTTTCGTTTTGGGAAAGGTCCCTGTTCATTACCTCTGTCCCTTTGGACTTGCTTATTTTGTGGCCTCTTTGCCTATGTTGGAGCCAGTTGCCCGAGTTGCACAAAGGCTTCTAGTGAATTGCCAATATATTTCCAAATTTGCTGGAAGGGAAACCAACACGAATCAATTATTTATTTATTTATTTTTCCCGGACCCCCTATTCCGCACACAGCAAAACCACAGAATTGAAGGGGAACACCCTTTTTTTAGATTGTCCGGTTTGTGGCTGGCGTGTGACTTGTCAAGATGCCCTGTTGCTGGACCAAGGTTGCTTTCTTGCTTGTTTTCATCGAAGTGCTCATTTTGGCCTTGGGACACCCGGGAAGTTCATGTGGAGGATCGGATTGTACTTTGGTTGCCGCTGTTTTTGATGCTGATGCCAAGGGCATCCCCTTGAGCGGGCAAGTAGTCATTGGAATCAATTTGAAATCGCACAAGGAGGCATGTTCCAATGTTTGCTTTGGCCACCATCAGCTATGCTTGTCTATGCCACCTCCGGACCATTTCCGGGAAGTTCATAGAACCTCGTGGTTCGAATGGACAGTTTCCATTTGCTTAAGAATATGGTTTTGTTTTCGTGTTGGAGTTAAGATATTTGTTCACTACTGGAGATATGTTTTGCCAGGGGACTCAAGCAAATAGAACAAGTAGCTTTCCCCAAACTCGTTTTCCGGTCTCAGGATCTCGATGGTCTCAAAGTATTTCGAGTCCATTCCTTATCGCCTCAATGCCGCTCAGCCTGATTGGGCGTGGCCGCTTGGGCAGCACAGTTTTAACATGTGTCGCCGTAAGCAAAGCCTAGTTTTTACGTTGACCCCATATTAAGCAACCCCAGTATATGAACAGGGGGGTGTCCCTGCGTTTAATGGGGAATCATCACTTTCGGAGGGGAACACTCCCCTATTGATAAACTGGGTTGATTAATATGGGTCAACACTACATTCCAAGCTAGAGCTCGCATGTTGTTTGAGAAGACCACTATGGCGAATAAACAGTTTGCATTGGCCAATGCACCCGGAGGGAGTACGTCCAAGGTGTCGCTCTTTGGATTGGGATGGTTTTTGCGGCGCAAGACTTATGGAGCGTCACCTTGGGGTAGGTGTCAAGGGAAACCTTCCCCGTTTTTCCGTGCGCGTAAGGAGATTGATGTGCAAGGGGCATGTCTTTCCCTCTGGCGGGTGTTGTCTTCAGGGGAGGCGCATGGGAGGACGGGAGGACATGTCATTCGCGTGTCCACCCTTCCCTGTTGTCTGCATGGGTACAAGGGAATGAATGCATCCGGGCGGGATCCCGACACGACATTTTTCTAGGTCTCTGGAAGATTCCCTAGTGCCGAAGATATACAACAATTAACAATGCAAAGGATCAAATGATAGCAGTAGAAAAGCGCCAGCACGAATAAGATTTGGGTTGGCACTATGTTCAAAACAGCTTTAGGTGGCCCACCCCCCCATTTTCCCATTCCCCTGGTTTGCCCAAAAGAAGGGTCCCAAATAGGGCCACTTGTTTGGGCCAGGAGCAGTTTCTAGCCTGGACTTGAGGAAGAGACGGGGGTGATCGACTACGACGAGTGCGAGAAGTTCGCCTTGCGGGTCCGCCCCAAGATCTTAATTGCTGCTCGCAGGAAAACAGAAAAACCAACACCCAGCACCTTCCAAAGGCAATCCCTAAGTGGGTATGTCTTTGTTTGGGGCACCCCCAGAAATTGTGGTTTTTCGCTTTTTGTGTTCCTTGAAAAGGCTCAAAAAGCCCCTCCCAAGTGCCTTGATTTGGTTTTTCCCTAGGGCAAACAGACCTTCGCTGGGAATCCGTGCCTAGTTCTTCCATAGAACCCGAATCCCTTTAAAATCCGCAAAGGGTTCGGGTGGCTTGGGCCCGCGCTGCCCTTCTGGATGGGAGAAGTCACTAGCGGCCAAATTTGCTTAATTTCCCAAAAGAAGAAGCCGCAATTGCGGTTGGGTCAGTGTTACTTAAGCTTTTCCAGACCCCCAATTCAGGAGGCCCAGATCTTCCAGGGCCAAACTCTGGGCTGTCCTTTGCTTCGGCCAAATATTCTTTGAAAGTGTCTCTTCTTAGCCTACCTGGGCCAAGTGGTGCTTTTAAATGAGGGCATCCTCCAAAAGTCTGTCATATCTAGGGCCAAATTATGAATCAGAACCTCACTTCTTTGGCCACTGAGAGTTGGACCAATGACAGTTGAAAAGCTTTGAAAGATACCCAAATTTTCGCGGCGGGTGGTGCCCTTTGGAGTGGTTGGGCCGCAGACCCCACCCCCCACCCCTTTTTGTTTAGTCGCACATTTGTTCTCCTTTCGTTTGACTCCCACACTCAACATGGTATCACCCCAAACCAAGCGAGAGAGAACCACAATGGTGCGCCCCAAGAAGGATCTATTTTCTTGGTGACCTTAGTTTTTCGGGAGAAGCTCGCCCGAACAAGTCTCACTTTTTGAGCAGGAGGCAACAGCAGCCACCAAGTTTTCTACCAGAGTCACTGAATGTCGACAGGCAGGGGTCAAATGGCCCATCTCCCCAGGCTGGCACTAGTGCGTACTCGAGGCTCATCGACTACAGCCGCATGCGCCAGATCGCGGACCAGTGACGCTCGGGAGGTTAATTGTAGCAAGACGTTCAGTCGATTTCATGATATTTAGAGGTGTGCGTGTGTGTGTGTGTGTGTGCGTGTGCGTGTTTTATGTTTGCGAGTGCCGCTTTCTCTCCTTCCTTTTTTTTTGGAGGGGGGGTTCCAGGCAAACCAGAAGGAAAACCACCTTGTGGGGGTCCCCATTTTTTGCCACATAGGCGTGTTTCACCATTTTGTCCGTTTTTGTTGGTGGCTTACGGGAAACGGAGCCACCGCAACAAAGGGTCCTCGCTCCTTTTCTGCCTTTAGCGGGGAATCTGCCCACAGTTTGGCGTGTTCGGAGCAAAGAGGGCAACGTAAGGGGCTGAGGAACTAGAAACAATTGTTGCTAGCAATATTTAGCCCCTTTACACACAATAGGTTCGGTTGGCATAACAAGCAAGAGAACGTCCAACGATCTTAGTACAATTGTTTACCCCCCATGCCTAAATCTGGGAATTTAAGTTCTCGACCCCATAGAAGCTTTAGCCACCTTGTGTTGAGGTGGCGCTTACCTTCTGGCTGACATGGCCCACATCTCCGGGCTTGTGGTGGGAGGACCGGGGCTTCGTTTCGAGCGATTTCCAGCCTCGGCTGCCATTTGCATGTTAGACCTCGGCACCCTCAAAAGGTGATCGACCTTTTGGTGGGCTCGGAGCCACCCAGCTTGGATGGATCTTCTTTTGACTGGTTGGGAGCATGTGCTACCAGTCTAGTGAACAAACAATAACAAACGTGTGTTCGCACAGGATCCACTAGCCAACGAGAAGCCTGGGTTGCTGTGTGGGGGACCATCATCGCAGCCTGCCTCAAATGTCAATATATGTCAATATGCATCAGAAAATCATGATCCAATTTAGTAGCACAGAAAGGGTGGTATATTTTCTACAAGCATGTGTTGAGTTGCTTTTTGGTGGGAGGGAGGGAGGGAGGGAATCCATGTGTTTGTTTTTGCAGGTTTGGAAGGTATCGTTTTTCGCTCGGCAGGTTTTTGCTTTTGGTAAGAAGTTGATGCTGACTTTTCCAGAAAGCTGCCGATGGAAGCCAAGTTTTCAGTACCCTTGTTGAGAACACATCCCTGCGAAATAATTGGCTGCGATTGTTTTTGATCTACCTTGAACGGTTTGGGCACGAAGGGTTCCCCACCAAAGCAAAGCTGGACTTATCTAGGGGTTAGCTGACAAAGGGCGCTGGCCAAGACGAAACATAGCCTCCCAATTTGCATGGAACCTCACAGAGACCCGGTCCATTTAAAAGGAACCTGGTGTTCCAGGACCGGTTCCATGAAAATTGGTGGGAGGGTAAGTCACTTGACCTTTGCAGGTTGGCAGGCTGCAGCATTCAGCATTCAGTGAATGTCACCCTGAGGGACTTTTGGTTTGGTACCTGGTAATGATGGACCTCAACTGTTCTACCTGCCTGAGGGCTATATAGGTGAGTGGAACGGACAGTCCTCCCCTCCGTCCCTGTCCTCCCTCCCCTCCCTCCCTCCCTAGGGCTCCATTGGACAGCATCATCCCTTGAAGCCTGCCCCGCCCACTAACAGTGATACACATTTGGATCAACCACTACGGTATACTACGGTCTTCCAAATTGTGGTGACTGGCAACGCATTTGGGGTGGAACACGTCCAGATCATCCCAAAGATTGCGATACCAAAAGCCCCATCTCCACCAAACCCCAGATCTCTAGTGGTGCCTGTCCGAAGATGTTTTGGCAGAGCTTTCGCTGTCACTCCCTGAGCTCCTGAACATTAATTAGTTATTTTTGGGAGGACCATTTTAGTGGCAACCAACAGTTTGGGCGTTTTTCTGACCAAACCACTGAGGAGGTGAGGTCACGGCACTTACCAAAAGACATGTGGCCTCTTCTGCGTGGCAATCCGGAGGGTTGGCCAGGGCAGCAGAAAGACCAAACTAGTTCTTCCTGGGCAAAACATCCTGACTTTTGTGTTTTGTTTGCGTGCTCAACTTCGCAGGGCCACTTCTGTTTTGTGTTGGGCAGGAAATGGGTCCCTTGAGAGGAAACCTTTGGGGATGGCTCTGTTCGGCTTCTTTCCAGGCGGTTCCTAGTCGTCGGTCTATCGGACTAAGTTGACGTTGAGGGCTTCGGAAGGGCATGGCTTGATGTTTGCGGAATGGACCAGTGGTTTTGGGTGGTTTTGGCTGCGTGTTGTTGTTTCTTTCCCCGATTTTTGAGGTGAAAGGTACTCTTTTTCAGGTCGGATTAAAGGGAAGTCAAAGGGACACTCACGATTTTGGATGGGCCTTTAATAAGGCGGATGCTTTCTGGAGGTGTTATCCCCTCGCCCTTCGAGTACGCGGACATCGTCACCACCACCACCCACAAGAGTTTGCGGGGGCCCAGGGGTGCCATGATCTTTTTCCGGAAGGGCCAGCGCGGTGCCTTGATCGAATTGTCAGCCGCTGTGTGTTTCTTATTTTTCATTTTTTCTATCAGCGGTTCCACCGATGTCGGGGTAAAACGGGCAAAGCCCGTCTAGTAGGTCCTGTACGTGGGGATCTTTTAAACTCAGGTATATGTTGGAATTATTGCAATAGTTGCATGTGTGTGTGTGTGTTTGTTTTTGAGGCTCGGTGCCCTTTCTTTTCATGGTTGTCAAGAGTGACCAGCAGCAGAAGCAGGAGAGCCACCCATTTTGGGGCTTCTCGATATGTTGACGCGTTTCCATTCTGGGCCATTACCCTGCAGAATGACAGAACTCAAAATCCCGGATTTGTGGTGGAAACTCTTCTTCGGGGACCCCTTGTCGAGGTCCTTTTTAGCCATTTTTTGACTTTCCCATTTTGTTTTCTTCGTCCAGGTTCCAACTGGTGTAAGTTTTCACTTCCAGGTTTGAGCATGAGGAACGCTAACCCCCTTCAAGTTGGAATTGGAAGAGGCCATGTCTGCTCATGACGATGATCCCAATTCCTCGTCCAACCACCGTTTGGGCATGGAGAAGGCACGTTTGATTTCCCTTAGCCCTTTCCTTCACTGTTCTTGGCAAGTTGCTTCGTTTTTGTTTTTTGGGTTCTGATCAATTTTAGACGGGGGCTGCAAAAAAGACAGTTTTTTGCTACCATACCAAGGGTTGTGAAGCTTTCAGTAGAAAACGAGGGTGCTGCTCAATCATTTCAAATAGACTCTGAGGCGTTGACAAGAAGGGCAACCCAATACTGTACGACCTGGAGGACTTTTGGTCGCTTACTCGGTCGTATATCAGAGAATTCCCAGGCAGCGAGTTCAATTCGCAGGCTTGACTTTCTAGGGCGTGGGCAGCCTTTTGCGGGTTGTTTGGAAGGGAAACCAAAGCAAACCACCCATTGTGGGAGTCCCCCTTGAAGACAAAGCTTGTTGGCTCGCTGCTGAATCTCCGTTAGGCTCCTGATGCCCATCCCGTCTGGTGACTCTGTTTGTCGTGTTGGCATGTGTTTCTTTCAGGTCTGGACTTGTGGTTATATTGAAAGAACTGGAGGTCCGGCAGGCTAGAGTGATCTTCAACATCCTGCGTGTGCTTTCTATTTGCTTCATGTTGCAACTCGGGCTTGGTGGGGAGTTAAACGAAATGCCGTGTTTGAACCACATATTAGTTGATAGGAATAATCGTTTGCGAGGCCTCCGCGTGTGGTCAACAGTCAACATCATACCCTGTAGTCAGTTTCCTCTGGGGAAATGGGCGAAAAGACCTTACAAGGAGGCCCACGAAATGCATGGGGTTCCCTGAACAAGCCCAAAGGTGCCATTTGGCCTGTTGTTCAGGTTCCGAAGCTCTTGAGGATATCACCCAGCTTTTTTCTCCACAAATCAACCACCTGCCCGGCGCGTGGTTTTTGTGACGACTCAAGCCCAGGAGCGGATCAACGCGGCGGTGTTCCCCGGGCTGCAGGGGGGGCCGCACAACCAGAGCATCACGGCCCTGGCGGTGGCGCTGAAGCCGCTCAACGCCGACATGGGCTCAATCAAAAGGGGGGAGGGGGTGCCTCAAAGGCGAGTTCCTGTGGCTTCCCTGTAAATTTGCAACAAGAACGTTGGTGCATGTTGCTTGGATGTTAGGACTTTAACTTTTTGCCAACTAATGGGTTTTCCATTAAACCACAAAAAGTTAAACTTTTAGAAGCGGAGCAGAAAGCAACCGAGGAATATGGGTTCATTTTTAGGAAGCTGAAATGTGATTGTTCTTTGTCGGTTCACTCACCCAGCTCCAGTGTCTCTGAAATTATGTGTGTGTTGTTTAAGGCTGTGCGAAACAGGAAGCATAATCTGTTTGTTTGGTGTAGCCCAGAGTTGAAAGAAGCAAACCAACAAACACAACAATTCGCAAACACACATGCAAACAAAATAACGATCAAAAAACAAACAAGCAAGCAAGCAGGCAAGCAAGCAAGCAAGCAAGCACAACCAAGCACAACCAAGCAAACAATCAAACACAGAAACACACACACACAAACAAGCAAGACAGACAAACAGGCAGGCAAGCAAGCAATCAAACAAACCACAATTAAAATACAATCAAACACGGAAGCACAACAAACAACGAATCACATCACAACACACAAACATAAACACGGCACACAAACCAGCAAGCCAGCCCGTGAACAAGCAATTGAACAACAACACTAGCACACTCACAGGTTAGCAATGGATTTGACTAACAAACCAACAAACAACACACAAACCACCTAACACAATCAAGCAAGCAAGCAACCACAGAAACACCCAACCACACACCAACAAACAACATACACACAAACAATCACGCAGCCGCACAACCAGACAACCAACCACACATACACACACAAACTTACATAAACAAACAATCAAGCAGGCAATGAAGCAAACATATACGCAGTCAGACAGACGGGCAAATAGACAAACAAACAAGTCAACAACTAAGCACACAATCATGCAAGGAAACACACGAACGAACAAACAAACAAAAACAAACAAGCAAAGAACCAAACAAACAAGCAACAGACACACACACACACACACACTAGCCAGCCATCAAGCAAGCAAGCAAGACAGCAAGTGCTTAGACCTGGCCGTACGCGGGGATTTGATTTGTTTGGCACGGACTTTCATCGAGGCAGGCAATGGCGCCAGAGTTCAAGACTTACACCGAGCAGGCGCTAAACATCGATGGTTTCGGCCAGCCTTGAAGCGTTCGTTTGAAGGGTTCGGCGTTTGAAGCGTTCGTTTCTGGTGTCCTCAGAAGATACGTTTGATTTAAGGTTTATTTACCCTCCGAGCAATCGTGGAAGCTGACAAGGGGCTTTTGGAAGACTACTGTCCTTCCATGTTTGTTGGAAAGAGGGTGGCTTTGGCTTCTTGCTCCTTCGATCCCCCTGCGACCCCGATTGCTACATTTTGCGCTTGAAAGGGGCATATTTTACTTTGTATGTCACGCTGGGCATAGTTCCTATGGAGTCTATGGAGTGTAAGCTGACCAGATCTCATTCTTCGCGTACGGTGTCTTAAGCCGGACGGCCTGCAAGTTGCACCGGAAAGCCAAGCGTTGCGCCCGAAGCGCCGTGCTATGCCGTGCTCCACGTACTTCGGATTGGGTTCCGTTGGTTCCGGGCCCAACTTTCCTGTTTTTGACCAACCCTGGCTTTGGGGTTCTGTTGGAAACAAATCAGGGCTGCGAGTGGCTTGCGAGGGCTTGGTTCCATGGAAGCTCCCCGTTTCAGCGGCCTGCCAGGCGGTTCCGTTGCACTTCCCGCGCCTTGGGTCGATTTCGCGCGGGGGGTTCCGTTGCTCCAGGTGATGAAGAACGCGAAGGCCCTCGGGGAGTCCTTGCAGCGATGTGGCTCGGCAGCTTGCGACCTGGTTGGTCTACCCGGCCCCAACCGGTCTTTTTGGGCTCAACGAAAAGGTGAACTGGCGGGCGCGTCACAAATTTGAGAATGGGGAATAGCTGGATTTGGGTGGAGTACTATGAGTTGAAAACAGCGCTTCAAACAGGTGAACTGTTTTGATTTATATAGGGGCGGCTGCGGCTGGAACCGACAAGGCAGATCTACAGTTACAAAGGTCTCAATTTTGCGGTGGGAACCAGTCCAACATCCACATCCTCACCCCATGGAAGAGAGAACCTACAAAAAAGCTTTGCTGGCAAAATAATGAACAATATATGAATATATCATATAGAGCAATGTTTTATTTTGGTCGCGGGTGAGGATGATCCAGTATGATCCCAGCAAGTAGCTGCAGCAACATTGCCAGACAGACTCACCGTTTCTTGGGTTCCTTAACTTTCCCCCAGCAAAAAGGGTAACTTTTTGGGAAGGTAACTGTTTGGGTACCTTTTTCGTTGCTCTGGACACAACGGCAGAGAGAGCGGGAGGCAGCTTGTGGGGTTTGCGTCAGGTAAGTTTGACCTGGTCTCCGGGGGCACTGACAACCATTTGCTGCTGCTGGACCTTCGATCCAAGGGAGTGAATGGCTCCAAGGCTCCCATCGGTCAACGGTCTCGGCGGTGGTACGACCCGAAGCCAACCTTTCAGCGAAGATGGTATATATGGCCATGGGTCATATCCTATGGCTCCATTTTGGGGCGGATGAACACCCATGTACCACCTATTTTGATGTTCACCAAGGGCTTCCTTTGTTTTGATAACCACAGCCATATATATATATAATATCCCCTCCCCTAGGTTTTTCATTTGGCAGACCTAGCAACATGGAAGTCATCTACATGTTTTGTGTGTTGCAGGTTGGGTGACGAAATGACGTGTGTTCTGGTGTTCTGAACAGGCCTTCTGTTGGGTTTCCGCTGATTTGTTTGTTGTTTGCTTGTGTCCGGCTGGGTCATTCGGGTCTCTGTTGGTATGTTCTAGCTGTTCTTGTGTCCGTTGGTTTCTGTTGTTTTCCAGTGTTGGTTTCTCATGTTTTGCAGTGTGATCGTTTTCGTTTGATGGATGTCGTCCTTTTGGCTTTATGTTGGTGTGCTGTTGGTGTGTGTGTGTGTGTTTGGGTGAGAGTCGATTTCGAGCCTCACCGGTGAGGCCTAGCTCGGAGTGGAGTTCCCTACCAGCTTGTCCAAAAGAGCAACTCCGGTTGTGCACTTTTGCATATCACTGTTCATGCCCGTGCAAGACGAGTTTCCCTAGGCAGGGGTGATGTTTTAAGGGGAAATAGGGAACCCTTGTTGGGGCGTCACACTGTCACAGAGTCCCAGCCTGCGAAACGTTCGCAAGGCCGATTATTGGGCCAGCTGCAAGCTTATCCCTAAGAATTGCTTGGCACAAGGACCTCCTTTCGGTTTTCCTTTTGCCAGTTTGTTTGTCACAGAAAGTTTTCAAGTTTTGCCTGTTTTGCCACCGGAAGCCTGTGTTGTTTCTCTCCAGGAAGCCAAGGGATGGGTAGGTTTCTTGGAGAGCCCCCATTTATTTGACACTCGGTTTCCATTTCGAAAGGCAGAAGCTGTTTGTGAACTTGCCTCCATCGTGCTGAACAAGAACACCATCCCCGGCGACAAGAGCGTTGCTCGGCCAAAATCCATTTTTGGCTTTTGCTCCCTTTCTGAGGCTTTGGTTTGAACGTGAATCCAGGGACACCCCCCAGTTGAGCCGCAGCTTTTCAAGTCGCCGGTTTTCAGCGTGGCTAAATGAGAAGCCAGGAATTCCACTGTGGCCCACGGTTCTGGCGGTCGGAACCCTCGTAAAGCGGGACCTCTAGTGCATACACGCCTAGACTGATTGGCAGTTTGCCCCTTAGACCTGGTTGCATGGACCTTTGCTGGGGCCCTGGGCTTTTTGTGTACCTTGTCACGGGAAAGACGTGCAAACCAATTTGTAAGTGCTTCGCATGCCGTTTTTCTGACTGCGCCCAGCTCCAATCTTGTGAGCACATTGGGCGCCCTCGCCAAATGACCAGTAGCTGATGTTTACTCACTGCAGCTTGAGTCAGCTCAGAACAAGTGAAGTGTTCACTTTGCTCGACTCTCACTTTGTGGGAAGGCCATTTTAGCGGCCGGCCCCAAACGATAGGACGTTTCCTGACAATCTACTCGTAAATCAGCCGGTCAAATCCTCTTTTTGTTTCCACTGGCCCTAGTCAGTTGCATCCGCCTTCCTTAAAGAGCGCCGGGTAGGCGATGACGCCCAATGGCCTGCGGGTGGGCACTCCGGCGATGACTTCCAGGGGCCTCGTCGAGGCGGACTTCGCACAAATCGGGGAGCGGCTCGGCGTGAGATAAAGTGCCCGGTGGCCGGGTGTATTCCAGCTACAATCCAAAATATGACCGCAATATGTCCATTTTCTTTAAAGGATGCTATATTATATTATTATTAAGATGCATCATCCTTAATGTATGATGATTACTCAATGTTTGATATACTCTAATATGGATGAGTTTATTCTACAAGAACCAGACGTTCCAAACCCCACCGCCCTACATCAGCTCCCTAGTCTCAGGCACTTTGGTGTTTGAACCCCACGAATTGAAACCTAATGGGGAAGGTACACCTAGGGTCCAACTAGGATTGGTGGTTGGGGCCCGGTGGGTTGGATTATTTTTACTTTCTGGCACCAAGGGTTCAAACTTTCAAAGCCTCAGTTCCCACCAATCCAAATCACCCTTTGGGGTTACCTGACACGGGGTCCTTACCTTCACTCCCTGAGTTCCTCTCGATTTGCTTAAGATCGTTTGGATGGTAAGCACGAAAAATATATGTGCTGACTTGTTGTTGGCAAATCCACGGAAGTGAGGCAAATCAAACATGCCCTGCATTGGTGGTGTGGATTGGCGATTTGGGTACTTGAGCCCCTTGTTCTTGTGAATAGGACGCCCCCAGAGCACCTCCAAACCATCCAAACCCAGGCGTGTATCCAATAAAAAGGCGCTGACCCTGGGTCCAAGGAATTTCACGGAAAGGGGGCTTAAAAGGTGACGTTCTAAAAAAGCTAGCCATGCACTTCCTGGCAAATTTCAAGATGAATTTGCTTCTTGCCACCCACTTATCACATATAGGAGCCGGACAGCAACAAAAGAACCTCACATCAAGAACAGTGGCCAAACACAAAGTTGCTCGGATGAATTGCATACGGCCGATTTGATGTCAGTTGGGCTACTCCAGAAACAAGGGCTCAGGCGAACCAGCCTCTCCTAGGTCCCCCAGCCTTTTACCGTTTTTTGGTTGGGAGCGTTCCCCTACTAAAATAGATGACAGAAAAAAGGGTACCCTTATTCTAGCCTCTCTACTGGAGCACCTAGTCTCAATTCCCTGCCGACCGGCGCCTTAGCCTTGATCTTTTCTTCCAGTTCTCCATTGGCGAATGGCTGGACTCCTCATGTTCCAAGTGAAAGGCTTCAAAGCCGAAACAGGATTTTGTAGCCTTGGGTCCATGCGCTGGATCGTTTCAGCCGCCAAATGTGTTGGTCGGAAGCAGCGAAGGCAAAAAAGGCACCAAAGTTCGGGTGTCTGGTTTTCGAGGATAGCTTGTAGCGTCCAAAGGGATTTCCGAAAGCGCCAGCTTGGGGAGTTTTTTCTCACCAAAGCAGTGAGAACAAGCATCACGGCGGACGCATCTCCCGGGGCCAAAGCTTCAGGTTCATAGGGGCAGCCGTGGACATCGCGGCAGAGGTGCAGAACCTCGGCGCCGAAGCTGTCGACCTACTCAGCGGGGACTCGTGTTCGGCTGAGGGCCCCCCTTGTTTTTATCCCCCCCCCCTGGAGCCCAAATAGAAAAAATGGGGTCGTCGGGAACTGAAAGCCACATGCGCTTGCTGTTCTATTCAATAAAAAACAGTTAGTGACTCTCATATGTTTGTGTTGCATTCCCCCAGTAGGTTCCGTCCGTTCTTTTGCGGGGTCCCTTTGAAGTCAAGCAAAGGAAGAGTGCCTTCTTTTTCTGGAATTCTCAGGTTTATCAAGAGGCTCCTTTGAAGGATACGCGTGGGCCGAGCAAATCCCCATCAGCTGATTTGGATCTTGTGATTTGGCGATTGAATCTTGCGAGAGGAACCCTGCAAAGGAGACACCTGGATATTCCCCGTCAGACTTGTTTGTCCTTGTTGTGTTTCTTTCATTTTCCATTTCAAGCGGCAACAAGTGATTTGTTTGGAGGGGTCTAAGTCTGGCTCAAAAAAGGAAGGAACATGAAGGAACAAGGTGTCCCAGCTTTTCCAGACATGGCTTTGACGCCTGTCGCACAGCCATGCACAGCCTGCCCACGGCCCCTCGAGATTGGAGAGCACGAATCGATGGGGTCCCTGCCCTAAATCTACCTGGACCCTTCGAAAGGGTAGACATTGCCTTGCATGGCCGAGCACACTGTACATGAACACCGATTCTTGCGGTTTCGTTTGCAAAAACAACACACCGAGCCCTTCCAGGTTCCGTTTCCCCTTCACGGAACCCACGTGCGAGTCAATGGGCTCGCCCAGGAAGCAGAGCGGGCCCAAACTCGTGGAGTTCAGGAAGCTCCTCACGGAGAGCCCCCCCGGGAGGCTCTTGGCGCCTCGTCCGATTCCTTGCGCGGAGCGGCGCGAGGCTCACCCGCGGGTTCGCCCCGGGACTAAAACGGAATCAGAGCCAGTGGTCATCCCTTCTTTCACAGAGTTCCATAGACAGAGTTCCCTGCGCAAGAAGCGCTTTTGAACTTCATTTTGTGGGGCAGATCGGTGAGGGGTGATGTTTTGGTTTGGACATATGTTTCTGTGTGTGTGTGTCCCATTAAAACAGAATACCTCAAACAGAGTACCTGAAACAAAATCCATGCAACGCATACGGAGCCCTGCAGCTTGGCTGCTTGAAATCCAAGGAGCTCAAGAGCGAGGTGGAAGCCTTCGCAGGCCCAGCCTGATGTCCGGAAGACGATGAGGTCGAAGGAAAACCCACCTGTTCTGGGGGACCCCTGAACAAGGTGCACTGATGTTCTGTGCTTTTTGTGAGGACTGTTTTTGTAGCAAGCACAAAGTTCGGACTTGTTTTCATGCTAATCCACGGGAGTGATATGTTCGTGGTATCACTTTTGAAACTGATTGCTCATTTTAAGACTCACTGGACATGGGCCAGAATGAACATATGAGTGTTGGCTGGAGACCAAAGGTGCGGTAGGTGCATTTAGATTCGAAAAGGGCAGAATAAGCTGCTACTTTCCACTCCCGGAGATCCAACTCCAACCAGGAGTGCCATGAAGCAAACGGGGCAACCGGCTAGGTTTCCAAGTGGCAGGCTCAAGCTGTTGAGGGGCCTTGCCCAGAGGTTTATGGGCTCTGGTTGCTGAGCCTACGGATGTTGCTGGTTGCTTTCCCAAGAGTTTTAACCCAATTAAGACAAACTCAACTGTCTATTTAATCTGTTTCAGGACCCTTACAACGTGGTCTTTGATTCTTGGGGGGTGCAACACATCCCAGCCTCTGCTCTCTTGCATGTTCGGAGCTGGAATTACGGGTTTAACCAAGTGTCGCGTTGTTCAACACGCATGTAAAGTTCGGATTTTCAGCTGGGCGAATCAAGCCATGAATCTCGGCATACCTCTCGAGGCCGTTGGGGCAATGGTCAGCGACAAGCCTAACCCTTAGAACACCAAATCTCTGGGTTACTTCCCCACAAAGTGGAAGGACTAACCTCAGCCGTCGCCAAAGGCTGGCTGAGACTCGTGCTTTGCGTGAGATCCGAGCTGACCTTTGGCTTTTCAATCATCTCTCGTGGAAATGGCCATGGGTCAACACCCCGTACCCCCAGTGAACATCCCAATCCCCACTAAATTAGACCAAAATGGGTGGTGCACCTACCCCAAAATGGGATGCCATTGGTTGTGACCCACAGCCAAATAGATCACCTGAGCTGTGGGCTTCGGGCCCAGCGAGCGCAAAAAATCAACGACTGAGGCGCCTTTCCCACGGTGGGCTGAGCGGCGCTTCACCCGCGGAAGTAGCGGCGTAGCAGTGGGAAGTCTGACCTTCGCAAAAACTGAAACCCACTTGCCGGCCTGGACCTCCAGGCGAAATTCCCCTTTCTGACATATGGGGTAGCAGTGCTTGGTTGCTGCTGGTCAAACTGCGTGCCGTTCTTGGCATGGTTTGGATTTGGTTCGGTTTTGTCCATGTTTCAGTGGTGCTTCCTTTCCAAACCAAGAAGCCAGCAGGGCTTGCTGAATGTTTAATGACGTTACCAGGTTCCGATTGACATGTAAGTGGGAAATGGAGGTCCTTTCGCAGCAATCACCCGCAGCATGAGGATAGGCTTGCAACGGTACGCCTTTGTATAAGCGCCCCCCCCCCCAAGTACGCAGATTATTCTTAGGCTGTTTGTTAGGTTCCTTGCGTTATTTTGCAGGGTATGGCTGGATGACACAGGTGCGAACCACTGTCATTGGGTGCTTCTCAAAACAGAGGACCGCCTTTGGAAGATTTCAATTTCAACCATTGGGTTTTTGTAAACAACCCAATGCATGTGACAGATTGTATTTAAACAAAGACGGATTGTATTTAAGCAAAAACAATGCATTTACCTTTCAAGGATTCCACCTCTCCAAATTGCCGCACACCAGATCCCGGCGTTTTGTCCAGCGACAGGAAACGACGGAAGCGATGTCAAGTCGCCCAAATAGGGTTCCCTACATTTCCCCTGAAAGGACGGTTCAAAACATGACCTTTTAGGGACCAACCTAAAAGTGAGTTTCCGTTTGGGGTGATGCGCGTTTCAGGGAGAAATGCAGGGGAACTCTGTCAAAGTCGGCGTCGGAGAAGAGTGTCCACCCGGGCCGGATCTGGGCAACTACACATGGAAGGCAACTTTTGAGTTTCGATGTTTTAGCGAGTTGTACGGGGCAGTGTTGCTTCTGGAGTGGCGTTGACCGCTATGAAGATGAAAGCAGTAATCATTATCACCTCAAATTATGAGACAGTGAGCCAACCATACTCCCGACAGCATTCCTTGGCGCGCATTGGGATACATCATAATATTTCGGTTCACAGCCACTGTTGCTAATTACGTAACCCTCATGGCACACTCGCCCAGTGTTTCACTCAGGACTTGTTGACGGATGTGATATGGTTATGTGTATGTGTATTTGTTTGTGAGGGTACCCTTTGTGGGTGGCTATGAAGGGAATGCACCCCCCCCCCCCCGCGTATTTATTGTATCACGGCCAGACTCCACAATCGCGTTACTGTTGGGTGAACGTCTTTGGCACAACTATCATCATTTTTGTTTAGTGATCCCCTTTTGCGCTTACAAATGCATATATATATATATGGAACCCCCCCCCCAGTACCCAGGTGTTGTTGTCATCATGTATCAAAACCATTGATATTTACATATATTTTGATTGAACTCATGCATTTGCTGCAAGGCCATTTTGTGGACCAAAAAAACAAAGCACCGAAAAACCAAAACAAACAAAAAAATACAAAACCAAAAAACCCAAAAAACAATCCTAGCCCCCACCATGGCTGGGATTCCTTGGTTTTTGGTTTTCTGTTTTTTTGGTCCAGGGCAATGTTGCGCAACATTTGCGCAGCATGAGAGGATATGTGAACCTTTGTGAAAGAAGGCATGTTCTGGGTGAGAGGATATGTGAATTTTCTGTAGAGAAGAGTTATTGAAAATGACATGTTTTGTGTGAGACGATATGCGGGTCTTTGTGGAAGAGTCAGGGTTACAGTGATTCATAAAAGTACAGCAAAATACAGTAAATATCATGTAAAACCACCATTTATGTAACACAAACTGTCCCAGCCATAGCCTGGTTTTATTCTACACAGGGTTCACTTTCCTTTGCAACTCTTTCACATATGCTGCCGTTGTTTCATTGAAAGAAGACATTTAAACAGACATGTGTTGGGTGAGAGGATGTGTGAATTTTCAGTGGAAGAGTCTTTGAAACAAGGTGTGTGGGAAGATATGTGAATTTTCTCTGGAAGAGCCTTTGAAAGAAGGCATGGTTTGTGTGGGAAGATATGTGAATTGAATTTTGTGTGGAAGAGCCATTGAAAAAGGGCATGGGTCACGTCCAAGGCGTCTTTCTTCAATGAGGCAAACCTCCTTCCTCTGGTCTCCCAGTGTGCAAATCTGAGCTATTCTTCCTGCCTGCTTCCACGGTCAAAGCACATCTGAACCAAGCCCAAACCTGGGTACCTGGGGGGGGGGTAGCATATATATATATATATATATATATAAAAGTTCAAGCACTCCCCAACACAACTTTGAGCATACCCTAACCTTATGCCCAAAAGATATGTTGGCGGATTCCTGGAAAGGGAATCCCGGCTGCCAACTCGCCCCGTGCGCATGTGATGGTAGTACTGTTCGCTTCGAAAAGTCCAGCAGGTGCCGGACGGCGAACAAGGCAGGCTTTGGTTCTCATGGGGCTTTCACAGGGTGCCTCTTGCGGGTTTGGGGGTGCTGGGGCGTGGCTTCATCCAAGGAGGTTGGCCTTTTGTTGTTGTTTTTGTTACGCTTTTATGGCGCGATTTGTGAGTTTGAGGGGTGCTCTATCGAGTTTGCACGCTCAGGGCTCTTGAGGCTTGACCTTCGCAAGCTAGTTTCCTGTTGGGGGCTGGCAGTTTTTTTCTGGTTCAAAGGCTGAGACCACTTCTGACTTGGGCCACTCAGCAGCTCATAGCAAGGGGTCAACCCACCCAACGAATTTCAACCGGGGACGTTCTCGCTGTCAAGGCCAGGGCCAACGCAAGCCTTATGTGCCACGGAAGACTTGTGACTTTTTTCTTGGGGGGTGGTCATGAAAGCCGGGGTTGTCGAGATAGGTTCTTTGCCTTACACCTTTCAAAGTTGAACGACCCCGTCCAGAACGAATTCCTCCTTGTTTGGGTGCAGGGTTGACATCCCCTTCTAATGCGGCGGGGGGGGGAATTTTCGGCGCCTTCTCTCCAACCAACCCGTTGAAGGCAAGTCGAATCCGAATCCATCCCTACCAAACCTCCCAAGGCTTTCCCTTAAACCAATCTACAAATGGAAGAGGATCAACAAGGACTCAACTGATGATTGCCAAGCTTGCCTGTTCGTTCTTCTGGTCTGTTTGGTTTTCCTTAATTGCCCCTTTCAACCAATGAACCACTTTCCCCGTCCCGGATGGATCCGTCAGGGCGCCAGCTTCAGCCAGGCACGGGACACAAATCGATTCGGTCCGGGTCTCCCGGAAGTTGGAGGAACTCGCTCCTTTTTGGCGAGAAACCATGGGCCCATTGGTGAAAAACCATCCCACCTCTTGGAGAAGGCCGCTTTGGGATGAGTTTCCTTTTGGGAAATTTCCGGTGGCAAAGTGCTTGCCGCTGGTTTTTTTTGCCTTGTCTTTTTTGGGGGTTTGGCCAAAAGTCCAAATGGCCGGTTCCTTCTGCTGAGCTTCCTGCAGGTGGTTTCTATGAGGCCCTTGTTCTTCTGAGCAACCAGCTGCACGGGAGATCCATGTTTGTGGTGGGTATGTAGCAAGTTTCCTGTCGAAATTCCTTGTAACTAGCTAGCTCCTATGAATGTTGTTGACTGTTTCTAGATTTCAACGTCAGAGAAGCTGGGGTTCTTTCCCTGGGTTAATGGTGTCGCAAGGCTTCAGACCATTCTCGCGATGCCAAGGGATGCGTTTCAAGTAGCACAATTTAAAGGGGTCGTAGATGGCATGAGGAGTTCCGGCAAGGACTCGGGAGTGGTGCGAACAACCACCGATGTTCGACCCTGATTCTCTCAGGCAATCCGATGGAGCTGAGCTCACCTCCCCAAGGGTTCTTGAGGGATGTATTTCCAGTCCTGGGAGCTGCCAATGTTTCGGATAGCATAGCTTCACTGTTCTTGAATCAAGTTGTTTGTTTTTGTGTTGTTGGTTCTGTTCAATTTTGGTAGCCTGGTAGGCTACCAAGGCTGAAGTATAATTTCCCGGAGCACATTTTGCAAATGTGATACTTCAGTCAGTTGGGGCCCTTTTTGCGCTCTACCGCAGGAGATGCTCTTAGAATACCAGTGAGTACCAGGCCAGTAGCGCTGAGCGGCAGCTCTGCTCTTTCGAGCCGGGAAAACGCTCCATCGGGCGAATGAGTGACGCACCGTACTTGTCGCTAGGTAACGTGTGACCTGCGCTAGGCCTTTTGCGGAGCCCAAAGGGGCAGAGGGGGCTACTTCTGAGGCCCAAAAGGGGGGTGTCCTATCAAGCGGGTCCCTGAAAGTATACATTTGGGCCAGTAATATCCCCTTGAGCTGATTTAGAGGACTGCATGATTTAAGGAGAACACGTTTCAATAGCTGCAATGTGCAGAGGGTTCTCCCCCCAATGCCTCGAGAGAGCAGAGTTGACGCGCTCGCCTTAGGCCAAATTAGAATTCGCATGTTTCCCAGTGCCTGCCTGGCTCTTTGGAGCGCCATGGGCTTCGCAAGATCTCCTGCTCTTTGCACCGCTGCCTGGCCATGCGCCAAGGATTGGGTGACCTCTCACTATCGCTGAAATACTTGCTAGTTTTCACACCTAGAGCTATGACGAAGTGTGGTTTTCAAGTACCCCTACCCGATGATTTGGGCCCTTATATTATACTAGTCCAGCATGCGTTCGGAAGGCCTTTGAATCCACCAGGAGGGGGCTCAGCTGTTCAGTGGATTTGAGACTTAACCCCTGGTTGTTTTTAGTGGTTCCCCTACATTTGCTACGCCCCTTTGCCTTGACTCTTGACTAGCAAGATGCTCCAAGAACACGTGTATTTTCTAGGTTTAGAGTTGTGCGTCAACGAACATACATTGGCGAACTCCAAAACGCATCGGCCCAAAGTCTTTTTCCATCTCGCTGGGCACTGGATAAAGTTGCTCCGCTGGGCCTCTGCCAGTCGCTCCTCGACCTCGATATTGCGTTGTTTTTTCTGGGTGCTAACGTGCACAACAGAACGCACTGTAGATATACAACACCCAGGTCGCCTGTCCTGGAAACCGCAACTGAGCCGCAAGGGTAGACCACTTATGAAAAATAAACACTGTACACCATGACTCAGCTGGGATCTTTTTTGACCTCT